GGACACCCCTTTCCCCATTTCCCTTGGACCCGAACCTTTTTTCCCCTTTTTTTTTTTTTTTTTTTCTCCCTCTCTCAGGGAATCTGGGCTAATTATTCCAGACCCGTGGGTCTCGCACGGCCCCAGCCCAGCCCTGCTTTGGGCAGCGGTCAGGGTGCCTATCTCCGAGTGCGTATTCACCCCCACACACACTCTTCGGTGTGTTTTACCACCCGTCTCCTTGCCTCTAATTTCAATAGTTTGGAAGGAAAAAAAATCAGATCTTGGGACATTTAGGGTATTCATTAACCTAGTGAAGAGGAACAGAGGCATTATTACTCACATAGGAGGCACCCTGCCCCCATGTCTATCTAAGGGTTCATTGTAAAAGGATTAAAAGTTAAAGACCTTCATCTTATGATTCTTTCATTTAATCTTCGTGGCGCCTGAAAGACATGCTGGATGGATGATCACATTTAAAATATTCCTAATGTCGGCTACCTTAGGACTCCAGGCAGGGCAAACAAACGTAATTTATTTCTAGAAGAAAGGGGATATTGAGATGTTTAAGTTTATGAACCACCATTACCATGTATATTTGTTAGGTTCTGACAAATACCCAAATAACATTAAAATCAGCCATTCATCACATATGAATTTATGCAAAACCTTCTGTGCCTGGGGCCAATATTTTTTTAGATGGAGTTTCTCTGGCAAAAAAAAAAAAAAAAAAGTTTACTTAAAAAAATAAAAGCCAAAAGCAAGAGTTTTTCATGACTGGTAAACACGAGAATTATGTGAACAGAAACTATTTCATGCTGGGATGGCAGCCAGAGACTCGGGAATGTCAACAAAAGTTCTCCGAAGGTTGAAAATGTCACTGGATTACAATACAAGGTCCTTTGCCCCATTAGCAAGCTTTACTAAAGTAATATTCTCACTGCTTAGCTAGAAGACTCAGCCAGTGATTTATCTGTCTGTGATCAGAGCAATGGGGCAAACAGAGACTTCATCTGGAAACTACCTTGGACGGCTTGGTTAGAGATTTTAAAATGTTCTGTGTGCAGGGATGCATGTGTCTGTGGGTGTTATGTGAGTGCAAAGTCAACGTGCTAGTAATATATAGCCTAGATGTCTATCTCCATATCTGTCTTATCTTTTAATTTGACAGTGATTGTAATTAATAAAATGCCTGTACATAACACACTTTCGCTACTAGTAAAGCCCAATTCCTAATACTTTTGCAAGAATAGTCCAGGTTAAAAGAAAAAAACATACAGGTTTCACCATCCACAAGGATTTTTTTTAAAATAAATAGCTAAATTTTGTCAGCTGTTAGAGCAAAAATAAACTAATAGTTTTCACTGTTGTTTCTGGTCAGGTTCACTTTCTGGTCCTCCTGCTCTAGTGTTGAAATATTTGGCTTGTAGTGGAAGTGTTTCAAGCCAAACAAATAAAATATCTTTCTGATGAATGTTTCTATGCAAATCTTTTTAATATTAGATTTTGTAATATGTTTTTAAAACAAAATTGAATTATGACTCTTTTAAATTGAAATCAATTCATAACACAGCCAAGTTTTTTTTGCTGGTCTTTGTAGTGGTATCATAAGACCTCACAGAGACCACTGTGGGGAAGAAATAAGAAGGAAGAGGTTGAAAGTGAGCTCGTAGTTGCTGCTTAGTTTCTTTCTTTGCAATTTTAGTACCTTAATGTGCAATATTTGGAATATAAATCCATTTCCACAGCCACCATGAACTCTGTAACCTTGGATGAGTCCTTTAACTTGTGTGGAACGGCTCCGTGCCAGGTGTAGAGGGCTTCAGCTTTATCTGTGTGGTTACTCTCTGTCCAGAGTGACTTGTTTTCTCTCATCATGTGATGATACAAAATATAGCACAGTAGGCCCAGTGCTTGCGGGGATTCTTCCATGGGGCTGCATGTTTTTGCCAGTGCAAAACAGTATCTTGTGTAGCATTCCTGAAAACTTTATACTTCAATTTATCTGGAAAAGTATGTGACTTCTAGAGCAAGTTGTGTTGTAGACCAGTTTCAAAGTTATAAGAGTAACATTGTAGATAATAGGATAAAAAATGAGGACCAGAAGTAAGGTTTCCAAAGGTTTGTAAGAAACCCATTCCAGAAGAGTTGAGGTAAGGACTAACTAGGAAACTTTGTTACCCGTCCCCCATTAAGACGTGGTGTTCTCACACTCGTAGTTAACTGTGAAAGTGCATGTGATTCATTTTGCCTCTTTAAAAATACCACCACAAAGATAAAGTCTTCTGGAGATTTGGCAGAATTAGCACAAAAAATAACCACAGCTAGACATTAGAGCATTAGTGTTTGTGTAAACGTGGGACGAGTTTTTCCTCTTCCATAGTTTTAACAGAGAAATACCCTTAATTTAGTAACATCAACAGCTGTTAAAAAAATTCCTAGCAGTTCACATTACTTGGGTTGTGTTATATAAATGTAATCTGCACTATGCTGGCTGGATCTTGGATCCATTAAAAAGAAGATATTCCAGCTCGGAGATTTGCCAGGGCTCTTCATTGAAAGTTGAAATAAATATAATGACGTCATCATATAATGTAACATCATAGCTTTCAAGGTGAGCCAAACCAAAGGTATGTTGGCAGGGGAACGCTGCCACCTGGTAGATCCATGCTCGGAATAGATACGATAGTCTCATGCAGCGGGGAGGAGAATAGCAAAGCTCTTCCTGGAGTACCCACAAGGATCCTGCAGTCTTTCTGTGCATGTAACTCCTGGGGGAGCTTTACTGCACGCAAGGCTGCAGAATCTGTGTCAATGCTCTCTTTTAAGAGAGCAGCTACAGCAAATTTGAAGAGACCCTTTCATTCCCTCTTCTTGCTCACAAACCGAGCAAGAAGCTCCAATGGTTAAAGGGAAAGGAATGAATATGTTCACTTGAAACAACTGTTGGAATGGTTCAGAGGGGAGCAGAAATATTCAGCAATCAACATTAAAGACTCTAAATCCTTTAAGGTGTTATTGCAGGATCAGCAGCTTCCAGCCCTCCTTCGTGACGCTGGGTACCAGTGTATTGCTGCTAGGTCTCCTGCTGTCCTGTGTAGGGGGAACCAGCTGGTACATGTGAGCTGCTTTCCGAGGACTTCTGGAAGAGAACTGTGTGTGGGTACAGCTTCCCAGTGAGCCACTTTGCTGAACTGGGAGCCAAGGGCTGCAGGGGTGGCACGATTTAGCCTCTGACTCTTCAGATAGAGAATTCTGGTGGAAGCCAACTGCACAGAGATGTCCCAGGGACTCACTGGTTCTACCTTCTGTCTTTAGGGATGCCATTGAACATGGGCCAGACCCATGCAAGGGTCTGAGGCAGATCTCAGGATCAGACGAGCCTTAGGCCGGGTCAGTCTGCAAATATCCCTGAAAGCCTAACAGCCATTCCTGCAAGGACTGCCCTGGCAGCGTGCAGAGGGACCTCTGCAAGGGAGCTGCCGCCACGGTAAAGCCGCCAGCAGTGACTGAAGGCACACAGGTAATAACATGTCATAGGTGGAGTCTGCTCCTCACTGAAGACAGTCATTCCCCAGGACTTAGGCCTGTCCCCAAGAGAATCCAGGAGTCCTGGCTGCATCAGATAATCATAAAGGGGGTTCAAAATAGGTTTCGCACTCCTTCCTTGGGTATTTTTTTTCCTCATGAGAGGGGGAGTGGCAAGACTCCCATCACAAAGAACGTTACTCAGAACCAGAACAGATCTTAAGGCACAACACTAAAAACCTGTATGCAATGGAGAAGGACTGGGTGGCTCGGGGGATTGGTAATGGTATAAAGAGCTTTTCACCGCTAGGCTTCTGGCTTCGGTCCAGAGGTAGTAACTGAAAGCCACAGTCATCTGATGCCTGCATAGTGGGCTGCGCAGAGCGAGTTGTTGGTCTCTGCATAGATCCTACCGAGCAGGATCCAGATCCCAAGGCCACCACCAGAACGGACACGCTTGCAAGGATTCTGGATCAAAAGAGCAAAATGAAACGGGATGAGCAAGTTTGCTCTACATTTGTGACCGAGTAGCCCTAAGAGGATGCTGTTGTTGAGGGGGGTTGTTTATCTCAGGAGGGTTGATAGAGAATATGACCAGTGTAGCCC